GCTTGAGGAAAGCCCTGTGCAGTGAGTTGGTGACCCCAAAAAATATGTATCCACATCCTAACCCCTAGAGCTTGTGATATCTTTGCAGAAGGAATTAAGGATCTCAAGATGAGATTATCCCGGATTTAGGGCAAACCCTAATCTCGTGACAGGTGTCCTTATAAGAGACAGGGGGGGGGAATGTGAGACACACAGGGAGGAGGATAAAGAAGGCAAAGATGGGAGATGCGTCCAGAAGCCGAGGAGCCCCAAGGGCTGCAGGAACCCCGAGAGCCAGGAGGGGCACAGGGCAGACTCTCCCGCAGGGGCTCCCGGGAAACCAACCTTGGTGCCACCTCCATGTCAGACTTTCCACCCCCAGCACCGTAAGAGAATCTATTTCTGTTGCATTAAGCCACCAGGTTGTGGTAATTTGTCGTGGAAAGACCTGGTAATCAAGAAAAGTGACATTATCTGAACGGTGCTGTTCTTCCCATTTGGCCTCGGAAAGGGCAAGCCCAGTCTTGACGCTGATTCTCTGCCAGGAACGAGAGCCATCAGTCTGGGCTGGAGGCATCTTCGGTGAAACACCTAAGTACCGACAACGGGCAAAAGGCCATGCTAGATACCAAATCATCCTGAATTCAATTTTGGTCACCACCAGAACTTCAGCCATTGAAAGTGAACACCATCTCCAATAAGTGGAGAAATATCCCACCGGTAGGGAACACAGAGGAAGGGGAGGGGGGGAAGTTGGTGCAACTATGGGGCAATGTTTTAAAGGTATCATCCTTCAGTGCTATATGTGAGTTTTAGAATGCATTATGAAAGACTTCAAACAAATAAAAGAATATATATGTAGTACTATACATTGTTATAACAAAAAAGCAAAATCTTTCCTTGAATCTTTTCTTTCAAAAGAAAATAAAAGCCAGGCGTGGTGGCTCACACCTGTAATCCTAGCACTCTGGGAGGCTGAGGCGGGCGGATTGCTCAAGGTCAGGAGTTCGAAACCACCCTGAGCAAGAGCGACACCCTGTCTCTACTATAAATAGAAAGAAATTAACTGGCCAACTAATATATATAGAAAAAATTAGCCGGGCATGGTGGTGCATGCCTGTAGTCCCAGCTACTTGGGAGGCTGAGGCAGAAGGATCACTTGAACCCAGGAGTTTGAGGTTGCTGTGAGCTAGGCTGACACCATGGCACTCACTCTAGCCTGGGCAACAAAGTGAGACTCTGTCTCAAAAAAAAAAAAGATAATAATAATAAAAAAAAAAGCAAAATCAATCCCACTGTTCACTTAAGTAAAAGTAATTTCCATAGACTGACTTTACCAGGCATCAAGAAGTCATAACCTGGGAATCTGAGGGGTTTTGGTTTTTTCTATTTTTAGAGACAGAGTCCTGCTATGTTGCCCAGGCTGGCCTTAACTCCTAGGCTCAAGGGATCTTCCGGCCTCAGCCTCCCAAGTAGCTGGGACTACAGGCAACTCTGAGGTTTTAAAATGGAAGCGTTAGTGACTAGCAAAAACTCTGGCCAATTCTTAGTTCTGCCCTCTGTCCATCCTGGCCCCGCCCTGTCCATGCTGGCCCCGCCCCTATCCACCTGGCCCCACCCTCTGTCTGCCCTGGCCCTGCCCCTGTCCACTCTGGCCCCGCCCCCTCCCTGTCCTTGCTGGCTCCCAGCCTCCCACAACTGAGACTGTTAAACACAAGGGTGAGAAGCCCAACAGCAAAATACAAACGCGAGCCCAGGGGCGCATCTGTCGCTGGGCATTCTCCTGGAGTCCCCTGTTGGTTACGCCTATGACTGCCAGCTGGCAAAGGGTCAACGTGGTGACCTGCATTTGTTACAAGTTGGACACTTGGCAAATGACCCTAACGATGCTTCTAAACATTTACTTTGTAGACAGAATGTGTTGATGCATCGCTAACACGCTGGATAGTAGCAAAACATTTAAAATAATAAAAATGAATGCCTGCCAACAAGGCAGGAGAGGGAAAAGATAACAGGCAAGACCTTCCCCCAACAGTGCAAAGCCCCAGGAGCAGCGGGCTCGCTCTGAGCCTGGCCTGACCGATCCGCTGCGGCCACCCCACTGGCCGGCCAGCAACCAACCCCGACCTGGAGTCCGGGCCTCCCGGGCCAGGGAAGGGGAGGGAGCGGCGCTGGTGGGGAAGAGCGGACAGGGGTGGGCAGATGCACAATGGCCTTGTGACCCAGAGAGACCCGCAAACCTCCCCAGACCTGGGAAAAGGAGCAGACGGATCCAGCGCCGGCCCCCACCGCACAGGTCAGGGGGAGCAGAGTCAGCCTGGCCGGCTGGTGGGTCTGAGTTACCTCCAAACCCACCTCTCACTGGCCTCAGTGCAGCCCAGCGCTTAACCCAATGTCGCATTTCCACTTTAAAGGAAAAACATGTTTTAAAACCTCTGGGGCATGGTGGCTCACCCCTGGAATCCTGGAATCCAAGGTGGGAGGATTGCTGGAGCTCAGGAGTTCAAGACCAGCCTGAGCAAGAGCGAGACCCCCATCTCTACTAAAAATAGAAAGAAATTAATTGGCCAACTAAAAACATACATAGAAAAAATTAGCCAGGCATGGTGGCGCATGCCTGTAGTCCCAGCTACTCGGGAGGCTGAGGCAGGAGGATTGCTTGAGCCCAGGAGTTGGAGGTTGCTGTGAGCTAGGCTGATGCCATGGCACTCTAGCCAGGGCAACAGAGTGAGACTCTGTCTCAAACAAACAAACAAACAAAAGAACAGACATCCTTTCCTTCCTTGCAACGTGTTCTGAAAGATTTCCAAACTCCTTTCCCCAACAGTGACATTCTAAGCGGATTAGCCAGACTCGAGTGCAGAGCTAGACAGCAAGTGGGCAATCGGTTCCCTCCCAGGCAGAGCTAAAATGGCCCGTCCCGCCCCGGGATGCCGCCTGTCCTTCTGCACCCACTCGAAACTAAGATCTGGCTTGGGCTTCAGATACCTGAGCACCTTTTCCGCACCAGGCACGGTGGAGAGCCTGTGTTCTCACTGGCCAGAGTGGCTCGCCTGTGCCGCTGGCTCAAAGGGCCCAGCTGTGAACACCTTCCAGGGACGGCTTGGTCTGCCAGAGGCTGAAAATTACCCTAAATGCAGCTGGAACGTAAAAATGAGTCGTGCCAAATAGATGCGTTCTACTCCTGCATGGCTGCGACCTTCCCAGGGAACATCAGGTTCTGTGTTTTGGTGCACAAATCACAGGGTGGTTTTCTTTCTTCTTTTTTTCCAGAATTAAGTTTTTTTTTGGAACTGATACCTTTGTACCATAGTTGGTAATAGTTGGCATTATTTTGATCAGATTTTTTTATATTATTCTGAGATATAATAAATTAAAAAGGAATGATAGTGGATTTTTTTCTTTCTTTTTTGAAATGGAGTCTTTCTCTGTTGCCAAGTAGAGTGGAGTGGTGTCATCGTAGCTCACAGCAACCTCCACTCCTGGGCTCAAGTGATCCTCCTGCTTCAGCCTCCCAGGTAGCTGGGTGCACCCCACCATGCCCAGCTAATTTTTTCTATTTTTAGTAGAGACTGGGTCTCGCTCTTGCTCAGGCTGGTCTCGAACTCCTGACCTCAAGCGATCCTCCCTCCTCGGCCTCCTAGGTAGCTGGAATGACAAGCATGAGCCACCTCACCTGGCTGGATTTTTTTTTTCTATTTTCCTGTCCCTGATGTCACCTGAATAAAAAGTCAACACTTACAACTCAAGACAATACTGACCACGCTTCAAAGGGACAAACCGGGCATTTCAGACACAGCCACTGGAAGCCATTCGCCTTATGACATCATTTTACCTCGTCTCTGTGAGCTGACTCTCCAGGGAGCCTGGGCCTTTGTCAGAATCCGTCAGATCACAGAGTTCTACAACCAAGAAGAACAGCCCTTCAGGGCAAAGGGACGCCGCAGAGATGCCAGGGCACTGGACAGGTGGCATTTTGTTTCTTATTGGAAATCAGTTCAATCTAGAGGAAACTATTTCCAGTCATAAATGTTAAAGTAAAATAATATTTTATTTTGGAAGAGGCTGCATAGCTTTGCATGCAGACGCTAGTTAACCCGGGCTAATCCCCAGGGTCCTAGAATTCTCCTGAGGTTTAAAGGGGAGGGAGGGACCTGTCTACACGCCCCGGGCAGAGGCTCCTTGCTGTCAGAGAGCACAGCAGGGCCACCTGGGCAGAGCTGGCCCAGACCACCCTACATGGGTGCCCTCATCCTCTTAAAGCATGTAGGAAATGGAGGGACCCCCTTGTCAGCCCCCACCTCACACCGCGGTCTCCCGTCCCTGCATCTGTCAAGTGGCATCTTCACTCCATGGAGCAGGGACCCCCCACCTTCTTGGAGGGGTCATATACTTACTCTCACAAGAGAGTAAAGGGACCCCCACCCTGGGAGAGGTGTCCCAGTCCCCGTGGGCAGAGACGCACCCCGCCCCCACTTTATGGGGGTGGAGGGTCCTCACTCCGCAGGACAAGGACTCCAAGTAGTATCTGCGCCGGGCTGCCTCGGGCCCCCTTGGTGGCTGGGGCCTCTTCTGGGAGTGGAGACCACCCTCCTGCCCGTGCTCCTAAATCCTGTGCTGCCCACAGGGCTTCAGCGAGGGCACCTGGGGGACGGCAGTGCCAGTAGAAGGAGCCACAGGTGGCAGCAGCTCCCCTGAGCTGGCGCACCTGGCCAACAGCAGCGGGCACACCTGCATCCCGCGCCCACCCGCCGACTCAGGCGGGGCCACTGGCTGCGGCTTCCTCCGTTCCCAGAAAAGTCGCCCCAAATTCAGCCTGTGTGAGCAAAGACCTGGTCCCCGAGGGGTGATGATGAGCAGGGCCCGTTGTTACTCAAGTTAGGGCCACAGTGAATCCCACTCAAGGTCGCTTTGGTCCTAGGGGTGACACTTATTTAGAAGGGGTGACACTTATTTAGAAGAGCTGACCAAGGGCCCAGGGTCTGGTTGCCAAGGGCGCAGGACTGTCATTCCAGACTTACCTCCTCGATGGGATGTCCATGTTGTTCCCAGAGTGATCACCCATGAGTTAGGAAGGGAGGCAGCTGTCCTGCAGTCCGGACCTCTGTGATGTCACAGGTATCTCCATGGCAACCCAGTGTGTGGCACTGAGGCGGCAAGACGTGGTGGCATCTCTGGGAAGAGCCCCCAGGGCCCACCCAGGACCGCAGCCTGCAGGCCCTGCTGCTCCCGCCATCCCTTCCTCTCCCTCCGCGTCCTGGCGGCCAGCCCTCTCCGTCCTCCACCGCCTCCACCTGCGGGTTCGTGCAGGCCCGGCCTTCCCCTCTGTGCTCGCCCCTCTGTGCTCGCCCCTCTGTGCTCGCCCCTCTGTGCTCGCCCCTCTGTGCTCGCCCCTCTGTGCTCGCCCCTCTGTGCTCGCCCCTCCACTCTCCCTGGGCCCCTCCCACCACCAGAGCAGCCTCTAAGGATACAGTTTTGCCACAAAACCTTGGAGGATTCTCTGCGTCCCCAGCTGATGTCGAAACCCTTTTTTTTTTCTTTTGAGTCTCGCTTTGTTGCCCAGGCTAGAGTGAGTGCCCTTGTATCAGCCTCGCTCACAGCAACCTCAAACTCCTGGGCTCTAGCCATCCTCCTGCCTCAGCCTCCCGAGTAGCTGGGACTACAGGCATGTGCCACCATGCCCGGCTAATTTTTTCTATATATTTTTAGTTGTCCAATTAATTTCTTTCTATTTATAGTAGAGACGGGGTCTCGCTCTTGCTCAGGCTGGTTTCGAACTCCTGACCTTGAGCAATCCGCCCGCCTCGGCCTCCCAGAGAGCTAGGATTACGGGCATGAGCCACCGCGTCCGGCCTGTCCAAACCCTTTAACGTGGCCCCAGGGCCCCCACTCCCCTCCAGCAGCACACTTGACCATCCCCCAAGCACCGTTTGGCCTGTGGCTGAAGCCCCTCCACTTCCTCTCCGTCTTGATTCAGGGAGGCACCACCTCCCCTGCCGCCACCCTCAGCTTTCTCCTGCCTGCAATGCTCCCTTCACTCCACCCTGCCTCAGCTGTTTCCTACTTAAACTTTGGGTTTGGCACCTCCTCCAGGAAGCCTTCCTTGATCTTCCAAGTCTTGGTTTGTGCTCCTGCAGCAGCCAGACCAGCCTGGGTGGAAGGTATATGTCGCTTTCTAGGCCACTCACTGGGCTGTTATCCTCGGAGTCTGGGGACTTGGGGACTCGGAGTCCTAAGCTCCTAGCACAGGGTCTGGCAGAGTAACAACTCAGAAAAAATATCTTTTGAATGAACGATGAAAGGAACTGGTGAGGTGAAGCTGCACCAATCATGTTAACTGCTCACTTTATTATTTTTTTAATTAATTTTTTTTTTTTGAGACAGAGTCTCACTCTGTTGCCCGGGCTACAGTGCCGTGGCATCAGCCTCGCTCACAGCAACCTCAGACTCCTGGGCTCAAGCAATCCTGCTGCCTCAGCCTCCCAAGTAGCTGGGACTACAGGCATGCACCGCCATGCCCGGCTAATTTTTTCTATATATATTAGTTGGCCAATTAATTTCTTTCTATTTATAGTAGAGACGGGGTCTCGTTCTTGCTCACGCTGGTTTTGAACTCCTGACCTTGAGCAATCCGCCCACCTTGGCCTCCCAAAGTGCTAGGATTACAGGCTTGAGCCACCGCGCCCAGCCCAGTATTACAGAGAACATTCTTGTACATTTCTCCTAGCACAAGTGGGAAAGTCTTTTTCTAGTACACACCGGGAAGTAGTTCAGGGTAAGTCCTTCAACTTCCTTAGATGTGCCAAATTGCTGTCTAGGGTGACTGTATTGATTCGCGCCTCCATGAGGGTACGTGACTGTTCCATTTTCCAGGCTCCGGCCAACACTTGGCATTGTCCTACTTAGATTTCTGCCACTTGGATGGGGGTAAGACACATCTCCGTATGCTCACACTTCCCTTCCCGATCCACAGCGAGGCTGCGCATCTTTTCACGTCTACTGACCTTTCAGGCTAAGGAAGGAGACAGAAAGCAGAAGCCACAGGATTCGGGGATACCTAGAGGTGGTACGAATCAGTTTTATTAAAAGAGGAAGTACAAAATAGCATAATTTTCTACATCCACAATGGATGGTATTCAAATATCGAATGCTTTATTGGTTTTCATCCTGATTTTTTTTTTTAACTTTATTCTGGAATGTAACAAATGACGTTTCTTTCTGGACCAGATTTTAAGCCCTAGAATTTCACTGGTCAAGTGCTGAGGCCTTAAAGTGCTTTCATAAGAATATGATGTATATTCCAAGCAAACAGATACACTTGGCAGACAATATGCTCAGCTTGTTGGCTCTGCAATAACATAATGGAATCTTTGTTCAGAGTTTGATGGTGCTATTAATACACCGTGACTCACTAAAAGCCCAGCTTCCTGGAACGTTCTGCCCAGGGAAAGGCAGAACGTTCTTCTTCCTCTGGAAGAATCTGCAATCACACTTTCAAAGGTTTGAGCAGATCTTGAAGGCTTAGAAAAGAGAACAAAAGCTTCCTAAATTATCCAGAATTATTTTAACAAATTGCCATCCCCACAGGAAGAAGAAAAACATCAGTTGTATGTACTAGTCATTCAGTCCACAAAGATGGATCAGTGCCTGCCATGTGCACCAAGCTAGACTCACACCTTCCCTCCTGGGCAGACAGGCAGCAGAGAGGGGGACACAGACCTGAAACTCAATCTTTTCATTACGGTTGTGTAATGCTACAAAGAAAGGCAGGGGATGCCCAGAGTGTGTACACAGGGACTTATGTCAGGAACGGATTTCCTGAAGACAGCGACATATAAACGGGCCAGATAACAGATTCGGCCTGGTGTAGAGAACATGAGTGTCCCAGGTAAGGGATTGCTTATGGGCACAAGGTTGTTTAGGGAAATGACAAAGTTTTGGAAATAGTGGCGATGGTCGCAGAACATTGTGAAGGTAGTTAATGCCACTGAATTGTATACTTAAAAATGGTTAAAAAGGTAAATTTTATGTTATGTATATTTTACCACAATAAAAGAATACCCAAAAATTAAAAAAAAAAAGAACTTTCCAGGCAGAGGAGCTCTTGATGCAAGGTCTAGTCTGTTGAGTTGTCCAGCCTTGAATATCCCACCTGCCTTCTGTGGACACCCCCACCTCATGAGGCAGCTGGGAGGCAAAAGGTGATGAAAAGACCAGACACTTTTCCAGCTGCCCTTGGCAACAGGCTCAGCCAATCACACGCTTTTTTTTTTTTTTTTTTTTTTTTTTCTGAGACAAGTCTGCTTTGTTGCCCAGGCTAAAGAGTGAGTGCCGTGCGTCAGCCTAGCTCACAGCAACCTCAAACTCCTGGGCTCAAGCGGTCCTTCTGTCTCAGCCCCCAAGGGTACTGGGACTACAGGCATGACCACCATGCCCGGCTAATTTTTTTCTATATATATATTCAGTTGGCCCAATTGGTTCTTTCTATTCTATCGTAAGAGACCGCGGGCGTCTTGGCTTCTTGCTCAGGCTGGTTTTGAACTCCCGACCTCGAGCAATCCGCCCGCCTCGGCCTCCCAGAGAGCTAGGATTACAGGCGTGAGCCACCGGGCCCGGCCTAATCACACGCTTTGAATGGACTTTTTTTTTTTAAGCTCAATTGCCTTTTATTTCAGCATATTATGGGGGTACAAATGTTAAGGTTACATATATTGCCCTTGCCCCCCTCCCCCCTGGAGGCAGAGCTTCAAGCGTGTCCATCCCCCAGTTGGTGCGCATCACTCTTATGTATGTATATACCCATCTCCTCCCCCCAACTTGCCCGATGAATGGACTCTTTCGATGTGGCATCTGGTGAGAAAAGCCAGGGTACACAGACAATCCATTCGGAAAGGGGGTCTGTGGCACCACCTCTTACTTGTGTGGCCACTCTGAGTTTCAGTTTTCTCATCAAAAGGGATTGATAACGATGCCTTCCTCATAAGATTCTAAATTCAAATGAGATCCCATAACCACAATTGTTGGAGCTGGCTGATGGACACGTTTTGACTTATCAAACAATTCCTTTTACTCTGTGTGTGTGTAGTACAATATACATAAAATTTACCATTTTCTGAAATAGCATCGCTTCTATAGAAAAACTGAAAAATTTATAAATTTTACCACTTTTAAGCATACAGTTGTCATAAATATATTCACATTGTTACCTCCTGAGTAGCCAGGACTACAGGGACATACTGCCACACATGGCTAATTAAAATTTTTTTTTTTTTTTGGCCAGGCGCGGTGGCTCACGCCTGTAATCCTAGCTCTCTGGGAGGCCGAGCCGGGCGGATCGTTTGAGTTCAGGAGTTCGAAACCAACCTGAGCAAGAGCGAGACCCCGTCTCTACTATAAGTAGAAAAATTAATTGGCCAACTAATATATATAGAAAAAATTAGCCGGGCATGGTGGCGAATGCCTGTAGTCCCAGCTACTCGGGAGGCTGAGGCAGGAGGATTGCTTGAGCCCAGGAGTTTGAGGTTGCTGTGAGCTAGGCTGATGCCATGGCACTCACTCTAGCCTGGGCAACAAAGCGAGACTCTGTCTCAAAAAAAAAAAAAAAAAAAAAATTTTTTTTTGCAGAGACGGCATCTCGCTATTTTGTCCAGGCTGGTTTCAAACTTGTCTCCAAGTGATACTCCCATCTTGGCCTCCCAAAGTGCTGGGATTACAGGAGCCGCTGCGCCTGGCAAATTTTAACAATACATATGGCTGTGCTGTCACCACCTCATCTAGTTTTCCTTCACTTCCATTGCTCCCCCAAGTTCCCTGTTGTCCCTCTGCAGTCACTCCCCACTCTCCCAGTCCCCAGCAACCACTGACCTTTGTTATAGTTTTGCTTTTCCTAGAAATTTCATAAAAATGAAATCACACAGTATATAGCCTTTTCCATCTGCCTTGTTTTCGCTTAGCTTTAGAGATGCAACATCTTAACACATATCTTCCCATTTATCAAAGTCTTTAATTTCAGCAATGTTCTCAGTATACAGGTTTATAAAATCCTTCACAAAATTTCTATTTTGTATGCTATTGGGAATGAATTTTTAAAAATTTAGCTAATGATTGTTCATTGCTAATGAATTGAACTGGTTTTTTGTATACTGATCTCCTGTGACTACTCAAATCACTTATGCTAGTACTGTTTTGGCAGATTCCTTACTGATTTGACTATGCGAACTGGACATCTTTTTTTGCATTCACTACCTTTTGGCAGGATGGGACACGATTACGGAACTCTCAAAGCAACCCAACTTTGATGCAGTGTAGGGCAAGGACACTGAGTCTTTGAGCAGTGGAAGGGCATTGTCAGCATGGCACTTGTCTGGCTCAACTTCTTGACTGGGCTTCTCCTTGGTGGTCCAGTCTCCCGCACAGGGCTTGCTGGGTCAGTTCCAGATACACAGCCAAGTACCCACCCATTTGCCATGAAGGCTTTCCCAGTAACTCTAGGAGGATGAGTTCATTTGGGAGATCATTTGTACACAAGTATGATCCCCTCAAATATGCTTTTATCTGAACAAAAGCCTAGCTTTAATATTCTCTTACTAAAAATGGGAGGGGGTAACCTTTTGCCCTTACCATTCACTTCCTAGTTCAACGCTGCAAACCTCGGCTGCTAGCATTGTCCAGCAGGCATCTTGGCAAAAGAGATGAGCACTGCAGTTAAGTTCAGATTCAACAACTAAGACTTCAATTTAAGTAATTTCTGTTACATTGTCTACAGGGAATAAAAATTCAGGATTTTAAAGATTGTGATAACCATTTGCTGGGCAATTACCTTTTTACTAAGTCCAAGCTCTCTCTTCTGGCCTCTGCACTTCCTACCAGTAATGTCAATGCCACATATTCAAGCTGCTGTGGGTTTAGGCTTGGGGTCCAAATCCCATATATTACCTGCTATCACGAAGTTTTCTTTCAGGATTGAGGACTCTCATTTAGCCATTACCATCCCCAGCTCAGAGAAAAGACTTACCATATTGTGCCATTTTCTCTATTAAGACCCATGCCCTCTCCCCATCAGCTTACTCTCTTCTGTGCCCACCAAGCCCAATGAAGAACCAGAGTTATGATTAAACAGAGATCTCAGGTAGGATGGCTTTAAGTAGATGCAGTAAAAAGAGCTTTGAGAAGCCTTAAAGACTAAGGAATGGCCGGGCGTGGTGGCTCATGGCTGTAATCCTAGCCCTCTGGGAGGCTGAGGCAGGCAGATTGCTTGAGGTCAGGAGTTCAAAACCAGCCTGAGCAAGAGCGAGACCCCATCTCTACTATAAATAGAAATTAATTGGCCAAATATATATAGAAAAAATTAGCCGGGCATGATGGTGCATGCCTGTAGTCCCAGCTACTTGGGAGGCTGAGGCAGGAGGATCCCTTAAGCCCAGGAACTTGAGGTCACAGTGAACTATGATCATGCCACCTTACTCTAGAGCTTGGAACGGAGTGAGACACTGTCCTCTCCAAAAAAAATAGTTTGGAAATAACCCTAAGGAGATAGCACACACATTAGAATTTCCAATACACACATACAGGGAACTCATGTTGTCTGTGTTCCATTCTCTTCCTATTTGCCATCTGAGTGCACCCTGGGAAGATCATGTTAAGACTTGTGGTGGGGGAAGGCTTAGGGCAGCCAGTGTCAACCATCTTCCTTCTACTGGGCTTAAACACCAGTGAAATCTGCTAGCACCTAATACTTTTTACATTCTGGGACCAACTGTCATCTGGCAAATCCCTACTGCTCAAAGACGACACTTTCACACAACTTTTTAACTTATCTGTATTTGTTACAAGTTTTAAGTGGATTGTGACTTGGGCACTACATCTCTATTCACAAGCCTCACTTTTCAAAACAGTTTTACAATACAATGGGTAGGGCTTATAATTTTGTTCCTCTAAACACCACTTCTTTGGAAAACAAGCCCTGTGTGTAGAGTTTCAAGTTGCTTTAGACATACTTATTTCTAGAGGACTAGTACATGCACAAACTACAAGGGGATGAAAAGTTTAAAAAGTAGATTCTAGAAGATGAACTCAAGCCATTTTAACAAATACTTTTCTTCTAAATGTCAAGATCTTGGAATACTCAGTGACAAAAGATTTGGTCTACTAAGGAATCTGGCTTGATAGCTAAGCACTCTAGGCCACAAAGTTAACAGAGGTTAGATACATCTTACAACACTTTTTACCTCAATCTGTTACAATAAGCCAATGTGAAACCAGAAAAGCATTACTAGCTCTGCTTTAGTGCCTAAAGTATCACAGTATCACACTTAGAAGTAGAAAGAAACCTTATCTTCCCCTTAAAGTAGTTATTATCATGCCATACAGATTTTTTTTTAATGTTAAAAATAAAGAAAAAAAAATCCTTGAAAATATATTATCGGTGGGAATGAAGTATTGAACACGTATACAAGTCATCCTTCAGGGAGAGCTTAGTCTACTTCTTCCATGCGTGATGTGTCATCGTCTCCTTCAAGAGGTGGCATCTCTTCAGTCACAGCAGCATTGGTATCGTCAGCAGTAGGGTCATCTTCATCGATACCTTTTTTGGAAATAAAACTTATTAGAAAGATTTCTTAAAGCCAGCTAATTAGTGTAATACTACTGGTCTTTGCCCACTTTAAAAAACCGTGTATTACAGGGTAGGTAAACAAATCTCATTTTCATGTCTTAGCTCTTAGGGTGTAAGTGAAAAAGCTCCCTTCATTCCTATGAAAACAGGACTTTAATACATGTTCCCCAAGCAGGCCAACATAATCCAAATTTAAGTAGCTGGAAGTTAACCACCGTTTGAGTTGTCACGTGTTTCTTTTCTGTATTAATATAGTAGAAACACAAGGCTTACCCAGACCAAGTTTGATCATCCTGTAGATCCTGTTAGCATGTGTCTGGGGATCTTCCAGACTGAAGCCAGAAGATAGGAGTGCAGTTTCATAAAGCAGGATGACCAGATCCTTCACAGACTTGTCGTTCTTGTCAGCCTCTGCCTTTTGTCTTAAGGTCTCAATAATGGAATGGTCAGGGTTTATCTCCAGGTGTTTCTTCGCTGCCATGTAACCCATTGTCGAGTTGTCTCTTAGAGCTTGAGCTTTCATAATTCTTTCCATGTTTGCTGTCCAGCCATATGTGCTTGTGACAATACAACATGGGGATGTCACCAATCGGTTTGACACCACCACCTGTAATCAAAAGAATTAGATGACTAGGACCCTAGAAATACCC